AATATTGATTTCAAAGGCCCGCTTCCAAGTATCAGCAGAAACAAATATCTCCTAACCATTGTCGATGAATATTCCAGATTTCCTTTTGCTTATCCTTGCTCGGATATGACTTCCTCTACTGTTATTAAGTGTTTGGCAAATCTCTTTTCGATTTTCGGTTTAGCTTCCTATATTCATTCCGACCAAGGGGCATCGTTCATGTCTAATGAACTGAAAGAATATTTGCATTCTCGTGGAATAGCTACCAGTCGTACAAGTCCCTATAATCCTCAAGGGAACGGCCAAGTCGAAAGATATAATGGAATAATATGGAAGACAGTCCAACTGGCCCTAAAAACAAAGAAATTAGCAGTTTCGCACTGGGAGATGGTTTTAGATGATTCCCTACACTCCGTGCGTTCCTTATTATGTACATCAATCAATTGTACTCCACATGAGCGAATGTTTATCCACCCTAGACGATCAGCTAATGGCTCTACTATTCCTACTTGGCTATCTTCTCCAGGACCTGTCCTACTCAAAAATTTTAGACGCCAAAGTAAATGTGATCCACTGGTGGAAGAGGTACAATTAATAGAAGCTAATCCTGAATACGCACAAATCAAGTTCCCAGACGGAAGAGAAAGTACAGTTTCACTTACGACACTTAGCCCCTACAGCTCATAAAACTTTGGAACAAAATTTAACTAATGAAACTGAAAAGATGGCTTCCAACGATGATACTAACGAACCCACCATAGTTGAATCACCGGAGGAAACTGAAAAATTCGAAACTTTAGAAAACCATAATGAAGTACCCTCGTTCTCCCAAGAGACCTGTTCCAAAACGGAAGAACGTAGTGCGCAAAACCGTCCTATTCGTTCCAGACGAGCACCTAAATATTTAGAAGACTACATAACAGATTAACGTGGGAAGAATGTAGTGATATTTTATTACCTTGTATATTTGTTTGATTAATGTCATAATTTATTTTGTAAATGTCATGGATCGTTTTTAGTTTTATTAAACCTTATTAGCAAAGGTTTATTCATTACAGAAGTACGTCCCCAATCAAACATAAAGGTTTTAAAAAGTCTCAAACTCATCCGTCAATACATTACTGAAACTTTTGCCGGCTGTCATTAAAACTTTAAAGGTTGTCTCAAGTGACACAAACAATACAAAAGTATCAGCCGATGCCTCAGGAACATTAAAAATGATTTTGAATGAGGAATTTTTGTTCAGTCTCTTGGTGCTATACTCTGTTTTTAAACTAGGAGGAGCGATTTGAATTTAAGTTGGCAATTCTGTAGCCTTCTGATTGGTCAGATTACAGTCAGTTTCACACATTACTTTTTAGCATGAACATCGGCTAATAATTGATATTGTTGACAGTTCTGAAATTTTATAATTTGATATCTCATCCATTATTTAGTTTTTTACTTTATTTCGTAAATAATAGTTCTTCAGTAAGCAATTGTATTGAAAATCTACAATTATGAATCCTTCTACACTGAGTACTATTAAAGGTAGCAATTCCTGAAAAGCCTTACAAGAAAGGGAAGACACCTTATTATTTTACATGCTGATTCTGAAGGTTTTGTAGAAAATGCATTATTGGTTTTTGAAGGTAAAAAGATGGGAGATTACCATGAAGAGATGAATTCCGAAGTATTTTAGAAAAAAATAATTTTATTACTGATTTTTTAAAACTAAAAATTGATGAATTTCTAACCAAAATGATTAAAATGTAACTAAATATTCAAGCAAATTTTATTTATTAGAATAGAATAAAACTATTTACAAAATTGTTATAACATTTAAAACACCATCTACTGTAACGTTCATTTTTGGCCCCACGAATTAATAAAATTGTTTTGGCTTACCTGGTTAATCATACAAAAAAAAAAGGGGATTTTAGATTCTACTTCATGGTTAATTGTGGGTAAATGGACATTTCGTATTTTGAGAGGAATTTTAGTGTATTGGTAAATTCCTATGGTCATTGGTCCAGCCCATATCTAATATAGGATTTTAACGCAATAATCGGAAGTTCACAGCATTTGGAGTGTGGAATATTGTTGCGCTATGGATCATCTCACGTGTTTCTCATCCTTGGAAGACTACCAAGTTAACCCTTTACGAAAAAGGTATGTTTTGTATATATTTGGTTATGTTACGCACCATGTGGCTGTCAATTTCTTTTATGTTATGGCATGGTGTAACAGAATTTTAATTATTTGAGCTCATAATACTGTTTATGACTCACTGTTGAGCCAATGTAATTTTTCTTTATCCTAGATGCTGAATATTTTCTAGTTTATGTACATTTTTGGGTAATCCTATAGTTCGGGATACTTGAGTCAATGTGTATTGACATTTTTCTTTGTAATATTTTAAGGGTTTCACCCAGGGGCTTGTTAGCCCAAGATTCGTCGGCAATTTTCACCCAGGGGGTTGTTAGCCCAAGATTCGTCGACAGTTTTCACCCAGGGGCTTGTTAGCCCAAGATTCGTCGGCAATTTTCACCCAGGGGGTTGTTAGCCCAAAATTCGTCGACAGTTTTCACCCAGGGGCTTGTTAGCCCAAGATTCGACGATAGTTTCACCCAGGGGGTTGTTGACCCAGGATTTCAACAGTTGTACACAGAGGGTTATATCGTCCGGAGTTCAACGGTTTCATCGAGGGAACACAGAACATTGGTATACTAGCCGCCTAGCTTACTTGCAGCTAGATTTACAATGATGATTCTCGTTCTGGATAGGAAGATGGGAATGCTGTGAAAGAAGACACCCTACTATCAGGTTTTTTTTATACTTTATATTGAAGGTTTCATGTGTGCATTGTTGAACTATACATTCACTTTCAATCGAATGTTGTCAAGGTATTCTCAACATTATTTATACTTTTGAGCACAGAATGTTCTAAGGTTCTTTCACTCATAACTTAAGTATTATCAAATGTTACATCGTTTAATTGATTAATATTTTAAAGTTTTACTTAATTTAAGCACTTAATGCTGATGTAGTAATCCTTCGGGTCGCAGAACACTTGGACTGCTTCCACGTTTAAGTTGTAATTCTTCAGTTATTAAGGGCTACTGCCATAATTTTACTTTTTTTAATTTATTCATTATTAAATGGTCCAGACTTAACGATTAAGTTAAGCAATCTCAGAAGACCCGTGTGGGGGCAGAGATTAAGTAACCTCTTCCAATCTGGGAGTTTAAGTAAATAACCTCTGTGTCTAAAGTCCTTTATATGTTGTATTTTTATTTTCTTTTTTTGATATTTTTTATTTAGTTGTATGAATTATACTTAATTATAAAATTTCATGGTTTAATAATTTTCTTTTGGGTAGTTTGGTCTTAACTAAAAGTTAAGCAGATATCGCCTTCCAATTTGGAGAGGGTTATAAGCTTATAAGGATTATAAGTTTACTGTTTAGTTTATAATATACGATGTAGTATAGGTGCGGTTATGCACAATATTTAAGATAACTATTATTTTATATTTTATTTTTTATGTAAGGTGGAAATTAATATTTTGCGCATGCGTCATGCCTGGTACCAAGCTAACGACGAACCGTGCCATATTTTGATTTAATAATTTATTTTGGGTTATGCATATACATATACAGTGTAAATTTTCACTTTAATTTCCTCCAATTTTTTTTTTGGATTACCCAAGCCATTAGGTAATTAGTTTGTATATTTAGTAAATATTTTTTTTTTTTCTTTATAAAGGAACATAAGTTGAGGTTTGTCTTTTATTTCTTTCCTCATTTACTGGGTTTTTGGGGAAATAGGATCATAGTTTGGCCACTATATAGACCCAGTTGGCGCCTATTTATTTGTCTACTATTTCCGGAATTTTTGTAAGCTATCCACCCCCTAGCTGCCGTCTGAGCGACGTCGAAGGCCCGAAGGTTGACACCGGAACAACCGAAACTTGTGTAACCGTAGTAGACAACATTTTTAATTGTAGTTAATACTTTAATAATTTTTTTGTAAGTTTAAAAATTTTGGTGGAATCACCAAGTTCATTTCTTAGGTTACACTACTACTTTAGGGATAATCTTAATTTGGCACAATGAGTTAACATTACTTTCACAAAAAATATTTTAAAAATACTTAAAATTAATACATAGGTATGTATGAATAGTTCACTTTAAAAAATATATGTTGACATGTAGTGTTATGAAAATGTTGGTTCCAGTTTTCAAAACAAATTCTGACTCATAGGCCTGTAAACTTTTGAATGCCTTTATTTGCCCTCTAGCGCATTAACCATGGGTTAACACTAAATAAGCCATAATATCCACATTACTCATAGAAGAGATAGCAGTTACTGTGTGATCCACTTGTCATTCACTAATTAACTTTTACTTTTTATACCTATAACAAATATATCCTTAAAAATGTAAACAGATCTTTATATTTTATACTAACCTGGCTACATCTGGATATTCCATTAACAATCTTAAATATTTAATATCCATTTTAAAAAGATCATAGTTATTCTCAAAAAGTCGATTTCAAAAGCAAGAAAAAAGTATTTCTGACATCAATCAACAACCATATTGACTTTAGTTTGACAGTGACATTTCGTTTTAGACACACATTTCAGATCACAATAATGTGAAATTTGCCACCGTTGTCTGGGACCAATTAAAAAATTACTTCTATGACATTTATTCGTTTCTTAACCGCTCATTGGCCGTTCACCGACTAAGGCCGATAAAGATAATTATTTCATACATTTTGAACACGACTATATTTCGAAACTCGCTCTTAGTAACAAATCTAGTTACTTTTCCCTGTGTAAATGCGTCTTTTCAATTCGCTCCTCCTAGTTTAAAAACAGAGATAGAAATTATCCTAGGATTGGCCGTTATATTATCTAAACAGTTACAGTCTCCACAACTCATCATCTCATCATTACTTCTAAAAGCAAAAGCAACTATAAAGTCCATTGAACATTATCGGGCCCAGGGCCGATTTGATGAAATTCATAAAAAAATGAAAAGATTGTCTCTAGAAATTCAAGCTCTAGGCTTTGACGTAAAAGAAATTTCACTACCAAGACAACGGAAGCTTCCTAAGAAACTGGATGAGCGACCAGAAAATGCTTTTAATTTTTGTAGAGCTGAAAATTTTATGCGTACCAATATTTTATTTGCTGCTATCGACAATATGGTAGAAAATATGAGAATGAGATTCTCAGAAAATGACTATAAATTCATAGCATATATTAAGAATTGTCTCATGCTGAATAAAAATAATTTCAAGAAGAAAGAAGCAAATAAAATTAATGAATTTTACAAATTAACTGAAGACATGAATCAGCTCTATCGGGAATTAGAGATTTATAGGCAGTTTTTCTCCCCAAACGTTGAAAATAGCATAAAAGACTGTACTCAAAAATTCTTACATAGCGATCTCAAAGTAATGTTACCATTAGTATGGAAACTTTTCCAAATCATATTAACATGCCCAGTAAGTACTGCTTCAGCTGAAAGATATTTCTCAACATTGAAAATTCTTAAAGACTATTTGAGGAATACTATGGGTGAAGAGAGAGACTAACTGGTTTAGCTTTAATGTACATTGAAAAAGATAATACCTTAAAAATGATGTCAAAAGAAGGGCTGGATATTCTCACTGAACTGTTTGCTAGCCAGAAAGATAGGAGAATGATGTTCTATTAAAATAGTCTGTTAAGTACCTAAGTATAGTATAAGTAGCTTTAAGTATAATACTTTGAAGTTTGTATCTCGTTTTAGCATATTATTAAAAATTTATGCGTACCTGTTTCTGTACCTACTTGTTTTTGTTTCTAGTGGTTCATTAAAATATTTTCGTTTTGTAAAAAAAAAATCTTCAGTTCATCCGTTGTATTATTTTATTGTTTTATTATCCACTTGAAAAAATATTATATTGAATGTTTATCTATTATTAATATTAAGCATAAAGTAATGATTTTAATTAATTTTAATTTTTCATTAAAATTCTGAAGTGTCAGGAGCACGCGTGACCTTGACCTTAAAAAAAAAATTTCGTCTGCGGCGCCTTTCCTACCTTCGGCAGCCCCCCCCCCCACTTTTTGAGGGCACGCGCCGCCACTGCAATTAGATAAAACAAAAAACTTGACAATAACTCCTTTTATCCAGACAGAATTGTCTTCCTTTTTTCTTCCGGAAGCCGTTCCAACAGAAAAATGTTTATTGCTGTTATCCGATGCTGCCCCGTACATGGTAAAAGCCACACAAAATTTAAAAATGTTTTATGAAAACTTAATCCATGTTACATGTTTGACTCATGGCCTTAACAGAGTTGCAGAAGAAATTAGGTCTAACTTTCCTTTAATAAATGATTTAATTAGTAATGTAAAAAAAATATTTCTTAAAGCTCCTCTAAGAACTCAATTGTACAAAGAAAAATTTCCTGAATTACAGATGCCACCGGAATCTGTGATTACTCGGTGGGGTACCTGGCTTAAAGCTGCCTTATTTTACGAAGATAATTAAGAAAAAATTAAAAAAATCATCTTTGATTTTGATGATTTATCTAAGGAAATATCTAATACAAAGAAGTTGTTTCAAAATCACATATTACCAAAGCAATTAGTGTTTTTAAAAAATTATGCATTTGTACCCAAAATTATATTAGATTTAGAACAAAAAAATTTACCTTTGGTGACTTCCGTAAATTTAATTAAGACGTTTGAATCAGAGTGTGAAAATGTCCAGGGCGACATTGGAAAGACGATTTTTCATAAATTTTCAAATATAATTTTAAAAAATTATGGATTTATTGTTTTAAGAAACCTTGCTAATATTTATTCTCGTAACTTTAAGGATATTAATACCAGAGTTGGGTAGTATTCGAATATCCGGTATTTTGAATCTTATTCAGAATACATTTGGCTGGTATTCGAATACTATTCGAATACATTTGTTTTTTCTGTATTCGGTATTCGACTAAATACTTTTTTAGTCAGTACTCGGTATTTTGGATTCAGAATACCATTTTTGAATCCTAGTATTTGAATACCCACTTTGTATTCGAATCCCAGTATTCGAATCCGGTTTTCAAATACGGTTTGATTATTTCTATGAATATTGCGTTGCGTGTTACCATAACTCCATAACAGTGCAATTTTCAAAAATTTTGTAAGAGTCCTTTTTTATGTATATTCAAAAAAGACATCTTTTAAAATTAGTTTTCGAAAATTGCACCGTTATGGAGTTATGGTCCGAGGCGTATCTCGTGGGACACCCTGTATAAGTCAGTATAGGTTGTAGGGTATAGGTTATAGGTAATGGGATTTTTTTATTTTTTATTAAACAATAAGTTTGTGTTTTTATCTGACGGTGTACCAAAGACTTTTATTTTAACTTTTTCATTATTTTATAGTTTTATTTATAATTTCTTAATAAAACTTTCAAGAAATAAAAATCAACAAATGTTTTTTATTAAACAGTTATTTTATTTAACCTCACTGTGACACTGTGTATCAAAAAATAATATTTCAAGTTTTATTTAACATAGATTTTTAATTCTTTTTATATTTTTATAAATTAACTACATAAATAATAATCAAGCTTTGTGCGCACATGTTATTTGTAGTTGGAATATTCATAAAGTATTCATATGTAAATGAATCCAGGTATTCGAATACAGCGGTATTCAAATACTTTTTTTTCTTTGTATTCGAATATTTAGAATTTAGAATACAGTATTCAGGATTCGTATTCGAATACCGGATTTCAGTATTCGACCCAACTCTGATTAATACTATTCATCCAGATATTTCAGGAAAATTTAAGTTTGCACCTATTACTTCTGTAGATGTCGAAAGGAGTTTTTCTTTGTACAAGTACATACTTACTGATAGGAGAAAATCATTTAATACAGATAATTTAGAAAAACATCTAATTGTTCATTCGTTTTATAATAATGTTGATTTGTAAATAAAATTAGTTAATAATTAAATAATTATTAAGTATTATATTAGGTATTGTAAAATAAAACAAATAATAAATATTAATAAACTATTTCGATCAAATAACAAATTACTCTTACTGCATATGCTCTGCATATTTTTCAATTTTTTACGCATATATTGAAGTATTTTGCGGCATATATATGCGCATATTTAACTACTTTTTGGGTGCATATATTCCTAGGTCTATTGATAAATTTAAAAATTATTCTGAAAACGAACAATTAGAATTATGTCAAAAAGTTGAAAATTTATTAAATGACAAAACTCGCAATGAACGAGACATAACTGCCGTAGAACTTGTTAAAGAATTGCAATATTTACAAAATTTTGATGAAAAAGTTATTAAGTCTCCAGAAGAAACTTTTTATATAACAATTAACAACTTAGTGGATTATTTTCATAACACGAGTATAATACTTCGTATTTTATTAACAATGCCGGTTTAGGTTGCTACCGCAGAACGATCTTTTTCAAAACTCAAAATAATAAAAAGTTATTTAAGATCGACCATGGGTCAAAACCGTCCAAGTAATCTTTCCCTGAAAATGTAAAACATTCATAATTGTCAAAAAGGCACTCAACTTGACTTACTGGAGATAGACATAGAGCTACTTGTTACGGGTTCTAATTTATTAGTATATTTATTTATTTTGCTATTATAATTTACTGATTATTACTGATGATTATTAGAAGCGATAATTAAAAATGCATCACTTACTTCTCATATATAATAAAACACATTAGCAACCAATTAAATAGTTAATATAAAGGTCCATTATTTTATTTGTTTATATTCCAAATCATTTCTTTCTAGTTTTTTCTATTTCTTCTTCTTCGGTTAGGCCTCTACTGACAAGCCTGTTTAGATCACCAACTAATTCTTCTTTTAGTTAAGGTCTGTTTCAGTAGTGACAAATATTTAAAATGACAGGAATACCATCACTGACCAGTGGTCAGCCTGGTTTTGTCCTTCAAGCTTCTGGTCATTCTGCTTTTGGGTTAGCAACTTGTAGCATGTGCTATTATTTTCGTCTATTACTTCGGATTTTTGCACTCAACAAAGCAAATGAATCATCTCTCTAAGGAAATAAAATAGATTCAGAAGTCTGAAATCACATTCTGTGGATTAGTAAATTTATTTCCTTACCTACTTATATTATCTTAAAGGCCAACCAACACCACGTGGTAAGTCATCTATGGCTTCTGTCATCCATTTTGTTTTGTCTAGGGCTTTTATTTATACTATATGTTATCTCTTGTAGGCCACCTTATCTTGGGCTGGTAATTTGTTACCTAAAAATTGGTCATACACTGTTTTATATTGGAATAAACTAACCTAAGACAGACATGCTTACCTAATCGCTGCATTGGTTCCATAAGGTACATTCACCTCAGGGTGTATACTATCACCACCATTCTGCATGGACCTCTGGGACACAAGTAAGACGGTTCTTATTTAACTTAATACTGCTTATATTCTCTTCATTCTTCGCTCTTTATTCTACACTCTTCTTCACTCTTCGGTTACCTAACTTGAGGCTTTGGGCTTTGCTTATTTACAAAGGAACTACCACTATTGTGCTCCGAACGCTTTGCATGTATATACTATTATTTTATTTTGCTTTATAATTAAAAAGGCTGCTATTCTATTCTTAAGATGCATGTGTAAATATTATAATTTATAGTCTGTAAACGATTGGTACCAATTGGAAGAATAATAATCATATTGTGCATGAATTTTAAAGCAGTTCTTTATATTTAAGTTATCACTAGTTGCTTTAAATTGCTTTAATTGCTGTAAATACACAGTAACCGACATTAAACCACCTCAGTTTCCTGGAATACCGCTTATTATTGTCATTCCACGACCCTCTCTCCGACGTTATTTTAAAGTTCAGAACTAGTCGAGGTAAAACTGTTAGGAGCAATAATACACTCAGCACAACCTCCTAACTCATCTATTATTTGCTTAAATGAACAAATCCAACCAAAAGAACGTTACACTTTCCTATCACTACCCTTTGAATCCTTTGTTTCTCCTTGGTACGGCCTAATAAGATTAATTAATCCTTTTATTCTTAGTTCATCAAGATTTATTATTAAATTCTCAATTTTAGTTTATTTTCCTTTGTCACTTGACATTTCTCAACAATAATGTTTCGTCTCTTCTAGACACAATATGCCCTTTACTTTGCAGTTAGTTGGTCGTCTGTACAACATGTAACAATATTGAAAACGTCAATCATGAGAAAATTTTATCAATAAGTAGCTTTTGCAAATTTGCGAAGAAAGCCTTAATTAAAAAATTGTCTTGTTCGAATATTTTTGAAAATATTTATATTATATTATTAATTCTTATTTGAATCTTAAAACACTTTTCTTACTTTTCTTAACAATTCTTTTTATAGTCAAGATTTTATAAGCCTAGACTTTAATTATTAAACTATTTACATTTCTGTAAATATACACCTTTATAGGAAATACATATTTACATTACAATTTTTTTCTTAAAATAAAATCAACATTAAATTTTATATTTAAATGAGAATGTTACAATCCGTATACAATGTTTAAATAT